CTTTTGGACCACAATTCTTAGACATAAAATAAGCAAGTATGCCAGATGGTGGCACACTTCACTCTTTGGAAATTAAGGATCCTATCTTTATCTTTATTATTATGTATTATTTATTTTTTAGCTTAGCCTTTGAGTTGCTCAGAGCCAGATTAATACCTAAGAGGGATGAGCTGTGGGGTTGGGGTTGTGTGGTGTTTCACGGTGTACCTCATTGCACAGAATTTTTCTTGAGGTTGGCAGGTTACCTACTGTCAACCCTCCTGGTTCTGTGACTAGCTTGTCCTAACACAGGTGTCTTTGGTCTAAGTGGTGAGCACTCCAACAGTTCTTAAATGCTTGACTCCTGCTTACCAATTTTTGTGGCTTTTTTGGCCTCCCCGATTCCCATGAGCAGTTAACCTTTCCATCATGTGCACATTTGCAGAAACCAGTAGTAGTATCTGAGGAACTGAAACTGTGGACATGAGCCGTAACCAAAGAACTGGGGGCGGGGGAAAGTGTTGAACCAGCAAACCTCAAATCAGGCCTATAGACTGATTCCAAACAAATGGGAACTGCAGCTGCTCCCCACAGGCATGGAATCTGGGGAAGGATTCCCAACAGAGAACAGTGGACTAAAATGTCAGCACTTGCCGGAGTGGAATCTGAGACAGAATTGAAATCCTGGGTTTGGCAGTTTCTGTGGAGTGGCCAGTAGAAGGCCCTGTGTGCACCACCAGCAGTCCCTGTGGAGCCTTGGCCTGGGGAAAGGGTTGAACCAGCAGAGCCCAGCAGATGGGGATTGCAGCCTGGAGGCTCCCCATGGTGGGGAACTACATACCGCTATCAATAGTTCCCACACAGAACTTGGGACAGGATTAGGGGATGGGGTTTTCCACTCAAAAAGCCTGGGATTGTGGACTGCAGAGGCAGTTACTTTGAGGGCTTGATGCAGAGAGTGGAGCACAGAACCAAGAGAGAACTTACCCCGGCATTTGGACATGATGAGCAAGACCATGAGCTCAGAGTGATTGTGGGGTACCATGCCTGTGTTTCCCATTTTCCCCGGAGTCATCGGAAGGCTCCTTCAATCCCACCACTGCCACCAAATGTGTTAAATAACAGACAACTGAGTAAATTTAAAGATCAAATTGGCTTTATTCAACAACTCATGAATTGGGCAGCATCCCATCTAGCAAGTACTGCAGAAAGGAACTTCATTGAGCTTCAGAAAAGGAAAGGTTTTTAAAGGCAGAGAGGGAGAGGAAAAAGGAAATATTCACAAAAATTTGCATTGTTTTAGGCAAGGTGACCTTTCTGGGAGGGGAACAGAAAAGGGTCTGCCAAAGATTACCTCCTGATGCTGACCAGGAAGTTCCAGATTGCCTAGTTGAAGGCCCCATTTCTGGCAGAAGCTGAAGCTGCATTTGGGGTAAGTCTTAAATCTAGGTGGGGTTTAGCCTATGTGACTCCATTCTGGGCCTACTGGCTCCTTTTTAATGGGAGTTAAGTAGTTAAATAAAAGAACATTCCAACAATTCCCATGAAAGGAAGATACTGATGGGAAACATCTGGAAAACATTTCAAACTTGTCAAGCATTATTTCAAAACTAAAACAATAAGGAAATTATATCTTCTATACATCAGTCTCAAAATGAAAAAATTAAAAGGCTAAAAATTACTGGCACAGCTTCTAGGCAACAGATCTGTTTACCTGACTCAGGAAACTCAGGTCACAAAGGTCAGGTACTGGTCATACTGCCCACAGCCTAAGTCCTTAAGGCTGATGGGAGACTTGAGGCAAGTTGTTTGACCTCTCCAGGCCTCACATCCCTCATCTGGAAAATGGAGACATCAGTAGCTATTTCATAGGGCTGTTGGGGCCTGGTGCACATTCAGGTGTGTAATTTGTATCACCTGGGAGCACAAGTGACACAATTGTCATAAATTGCAGCTAAATTAGAGAGGGATTTGGCAGTGGCCTAGCAAACGCTATTTAAAAGGCTATAAAATTTCCCTCCTGGAAGTTAAGGAACTATGTCAACAGGAGCCCATGTTAATTTTCATCTGTCTATGGCATCATTTCTTACATTAGGAAGAAAGAGGAAATGGGAAGAAATTGGAAATGAAGTTACATGGAAAGAGCAGAAACAACTGTGGAGAATATTTAACCATACAGTCCTAACGCTGATTCTGCATTGGTTGGCTGTGGCCTGGACGTTACCATTATCCTGTGTTGAACAGTTACTTAGTTTCAGATTCTACACTGACCAGATTACTTATATTGTCAGCCGTAGCCTTCCCAACAGTCCTATGAAGTACACAGTATTACAACTTGTGATACTGTGGCTTATATGAAGAAATAGGTATTTGGTCTTCATCCCCATTTCTTGTGAATTTCCTCAGCGAGGAGAGCAGGGCCAAGGTGTCTTTGTTATGTTAATGAGGTAACCTTTGTGCTGCACCTGAGGATGGGGCTGGTTGCCAGGAGAACCAACCCTGTGATGAGAGGGCTGGAGCTCAGTCCCCGCAGCCAGCTTCCGGGGAGGAGAGGAGGGGCTGGAGGTTGAATCAGTCACTAATGACCAATGATTTAATCAATTGCCTGTGTAATGAAGCCTCCATAAAAATTCAGAGACTGGGGTTCAGAGAACAACTGGGTTGGAGAACAATTGGAGATTTGGGGAGAGTGGTGGCCTAGGAGAGTACATGGCAGCTCTGTGCTCTTTCCCCTCATCTTGCCTTATGTATCTCTACCATCTGACTGTTCCTGAGTTATGTAGTTTTATAATATACCAATAGTGTCCTAGTAAAATGTTTCCCTGAGTTCTGTGAGCCACTCTAGCAAATTAATCAAAACTGAGGAGGGGGCTGTGGGAACCTCCAGTCTCTCACTGGATGGTCAGAGGCATGGGTGGTAACCTGCACCACCCACGTCTGAAGGTGGTGGCGGTCTTGTGGGACTGAGCCCCTGTCTATGGGACCTGACACTGTCTCCAGGTAAAGAGTGTCAAAATTGAGTTGAATTGTAGGACGCCCAGTTGGTGTCTGAGAATTGCTTGTGGTGTGGGAAGCTTTGCCCCACAATAGAAATTGAGTGCAGAACCTCTAGACTCTTAATTTATTGGTGAGGAAGCTGAGACAGGGTGGGATTCAAATTCATGTTGGTGTAACTTGGGGTCCAGACGCTTAACCCACCATGTTTTATCCCTGGTCGTAACCACTGCTCCTACTAGAAGAAGCTCTTCAGAAGGTTAACAAAGAAAAGAAAAAGTGATGGGTATAACTTTATTTAGTCTAGAGAGGGAAAAAATTTTCAATAGATTATTAAGAGTTATATATTGTTGGGGTGCCTGGGTGGTAAAGTGGTTAAGTGTCCGGCTCTTGGTTTTGGCTCAGGTCATGATTGCAGAGTCCTGGGTTTGAGTCCCATGTCTGGCTCCCTGTGCTTAGTGTGGGGTCTGCTTGAGATTCTCTTTCCCTCTGCCCCTTCAGCTCGTGCTCTCTTTCTCTCTCTCAGATAAATTAAAAAAAAAAAAGAAAGAAAATGATATATTGTGGGTTTTGTATTTACGGAGAGCTAAATAAGGGTAAACACAGGTAAATTTTAAAATGAGTGATTTAGAAAAATTTCCTGAATTAACCAATTAACTGTTCACATGAGTTTCCGGGGAGCCCAGAAGGAAGATTCCATATTGCAAAATAAAAGAGGCTAGATTAGGGGCACCTCGGTGGCTCAGTCAGTTAAGCATCTATCTTCAGCTCAGGTCATGATCCCAGGGTTCTGGAATCGAGCCCTGCATCAGGTTCTCTGTTCAGTGGAAATCTGCTTCTCCCTCTTAGAAAAAAAGAGTCTAGGGGCACCTGGGTGGCTCAGTAGGTTGAATGTCTGTCTTTGGCTCAGGTCATGATCCCAGGGTCCTGGGATCGAGCCCCACATTGGACTCCTTGTCCTGCTTGTTCCTCTCCCTACCCCACCTGTGCTCTCTTTCACAAGTAAATAAAGAAAATCTTAAAAAAAAAAAAAAAAAGAGGCTAGATTATTACCTTTCTCATTGTGTTATTAAATAGTTTTTTGGCCTACAAGCTAGAGGGCAAATTAATTTCTCTTTTCATATAATAGTATAAATGGGTAGGTGGGTCTAAATGAAACATTTTGCTTTCACTTTAGCCAATAGTAGTTTTCTTTGTTTGCCTACCAAGTTGGCAGGTGAAATTTAGACTGTTCATGATGGTGGTCTTTAGGTCATCCTATGAGCATCTAGTAGATTGCTGAGCTCTAAGCATAGGGAATACAGAGCAGTGGGTCTTTCTTCCTTCAGACTGAGGCTCATCCTCTGTTCTTACTTCAAATCTGCCGTGGAAACCAGAAGGAGATTCAGAAGTCAAACCCAAGTGATATAAGGCAGAGCTTCGCAACTTTAAAGTTTATGCACATCCCTGTAGAGCCCTGCTGACCAGGCATCCTGACTTCTGAGTTGCATTCAGAGTGGAGTAACAAGGTCCAGGAAAGTCTGGGCTCTGGAACTACACAGACTGGGTTCACACAGTGATTTTGCAGAACTCTGGCCATGCGCAGTGATCAAATCCTTGCAAGCCTTAATTTCTTCATCGGCAAAATGGAGAAAATACCAGCTCATGAGATTGGCATATTGTCAGATAGAAGATCTGTGAAACTAGTAAATTCAGTACCCCTCACACTTTAGCAGTCGATGAACTTGGTCCCACATGGTCCGTTTACACACAGGATGTGAATGGTGTTAACCGAATCCTCATCTATAGTGGTGGCATGTGTGCAAAAGTGTACCTGTGTGTGTGTGCACATGCCCATGTGTGCAGAATCATTCAGTTGTGTGTCCACAAAGTAAGGGACGAGAGACCCCAGAGCCCCTGAGCGCAAGCCTTCCAGAAGCATGCCTGTGAAGCCACACTGTTCACACAGGTGCACTCTGTCTCTAATGTGTCTTTCAGATGCTTTTTCTTTTTTTTTTTCTAAACTTTCTTTTCCTAATTCTTACCAGACTTAGATAAAAAAAAGCATGTAGAGCTGAAGATGGATCAGGCTTTGCTGCTCATCCACAATGAACTGCGTGGAACAAACCTGACTGTGTTCTGGAATTCCGAACGCTGTTACCACGTAGGTATTATGTTCATGCTCACAGTGTTGTTTGCTTTGGGGCTGTTTGAAGTGATCCCCAGTGCTCTCCTGCCTGAAGCCCTTCACGTGTTCACTTCAGTTTTATAGGTAAGGACACAAATAGAAAGAATCAGGAGACAGATCATCAGGGGGAATGCCAGCAGTGAACAACGTCAGTCTCTTACCTTTCCCCCTCCCCATCTTTTAAAAACTCAGTTCTTGGTGATGAGTGAAAGTGATAGACAGACCATGTTTTATTTTACTCCTCTGCCTGATGCATAACTCCTTGGCTAAACCAGAGAAGGAAGAAATGAGAACCTTGGTATTCTCCAAGGGCAGAGGTAGTGATGACAACTGGGAGGCGTAGGTTGAAGTATGACACTTATTCCAGGGATCTGCCCTCCTGATGATAAAGGCTTTATTTGTTTTTATTAAGTTTTTAATTTTAATTCCAGTACAATTAACCTGCAGTGTTACTATTGGTTTCAGGTTTACAATGTGGTGGTTCAGCAGTTCTGTACATTACTCAGTGCCCTGTCCCCCCACTCATCTGCCCTCTGGTAACCATCGGTTTGTTCTCTATAGTTAAAGAGTCTGTTTCCTGGTTTTTGCTTCTCTCTCCTTTTTTGCTTTTTCCCTCCTTTGCTTGGTTGTTGATAAAGGATATATGGAAGGACACTTATGAGCCTGTAAAGGTTGAACAACCAGAAAATGCTATCGAGACATAACCTTTTAAAAATTATGAACATTAATGATAATTTACAAATCTTTAACCAAATATAGAGACAGACGTTCAAAGGAATGCAAATTATAATAATTTGTATTTTGTAAACCAAATAATAAATATCTGGGAACTATGGACTAACAGGTGAAGGAAATCAGCTATCTGGTTAAATTGAGAATTTTCTTTCCTCTTTATCTCTCTTAAAGTAGAAACACTTAAGATACAAACACGTTGAAAAACACATAAACATATTGAAAAAATGTGTAGATTTCATAGCTTCAAGAAGCTAAAGGTACCTGAATGTGTCAGCAAGTGCTTTTCAAAAGAGAACCAAAATTGGAGGAAGGTTTGTATTGTAATGTTAACTATGAGTAATCACTACAACTGACTAAATAAATCTAAGATGTAAATGAGAAAAAAAGAAAAGAAAAAGAAAATTGCTTTTTAGCATCCTAAACAGTATTCCTTGGGAGATCTGGAGGTGGCATAAAGAAGGGAGAAGCAGTGAGTGGGAGACAGAAATCTGGGCTTTCATTGCAGTGAAGGTGATCTGTTAATTTTGACTGTTAATTATTTTCAGATATAAATTAGAATAAACAAGGCCATTTCATTTTTTAAAGTAGACATGTATGTATGTAATATAAGTAGACATGTAAGTATGATAATATAATAGTTAATGTATCTTTAAAATATTATCAGAAAAGAATATGCAATATGGGAAATATATAAATGACAAAAGAAGACAATAAAAGTAGAGGAAGGAATTCAGGGTGAGCAAGTCTAGGCTAATTGCAACAAATACAATTGGATTAACTTGCATAAAAATAAGATTCATTTGTATTAAAATATTGGGAGTAATTTCAAATTCCTTTTGGAAAAAGGAAAATTATACATAAATACATTGACTAATAACATATTAAAGACATATTGTACTTAAAATATAACATATTGTACATAACATATTATGCTTAAAAAGAATACATTAAGAACAAAAGACATATGCATTGTTACTTTCATGAGGTAGATGTGGGAATAAAGGGGGCCGGTCAGTCTTTAGTATTTGCATACTTGATAAATGAAATGTTAATATTAAAATAGAAGCACACCAAATGAAAAGGCTTGGAATTGAGATGGGCCTCTGCAAAACATGGAAAGTCATGGTAGGGGGCACCTGGGTGGCTCAGTCGGTTAAGCATCCGACTCTTCAGGTCGGGATCTCAGGGTGGTGAGATCAAGCCCTACATTGTGCTTTGCACTCAGTGTGAAGTCTGCTTGAGATTCTCTCTGTCTCTTCCTCTGTCCCTCCTGCTCATGCTCTTTGTCTCTCTCTAAAATAAGTAGAGTGTCTGGGTGCTCATTTGGTTAAGTGGCTGACTCTTGATTTTGGCTCAGATCATGATCTCAGGATCCTGGGATTGAGCCCCATATCAGGCTCCCTGCTCAGCTGGGGAGTTTGCTTGTGGATTCTCTCACTCCTCTCCCTCTGTCTCTCCCTGTGCTCGTTCTGTCTCAAAAATAAATAAATCAATCTTTAAAATCAATAAATCTTTTAAAAAAAAAAGTGATGTTAGAAACTACAGAGCAAAACTGTGGTGAGAAATAAGCATTCACTATTATCAGACTCAGTGGGGTTTAGGGATTAAACTGGTGAATGGAACCAGACCAGAAAGTGGTAGAATGGAGTGGTTTAGAGCATGGATTCTGCCAGCCAGAGCACCTGGTTTGAATCCTGCCTCTGGCACTTCCTGCTTGTGAAAATGAGAGAAAAATTAACATGAGTCGAGAGATGATTTTATTTTGTTTTAAGTAGGCTCCATGGCCAGTGTGGAGCCCAGTGTGGGGCTTGAACTCACAACCCTGAGCTCAAGACCTGAGCTGAGATTAAGAGTCAGATATGTAAATAACTGAGCCACCCAGGGGCCCCAAGAGATTTTTTTTTAAGATTGTATGTATTTATTTATTTATTTATTTATTTATTTATTTATTTATCAGAAAGAGAGGGAGAGATCACAAGCAGGGGGAGCCGGGGGCAGAGGAAGAGGGAGAAGCAGGCTCCCAGGGAGCCTGATGCAGGACTCAATCCCAGGACCCTTGGGGTTAAGCAGATGCCTAACTAAAATAAGCAACTCTGGTACCTCCCCCCCCTTTTTTTGAGAGAGGGAGAGAGAGTGAGTGGAGTAGGGGGTAGAGGGACAGAGGAAGAGGGAGAATCTTTAGCAGGCTCCACGCCAACACAGAGCCCAGTGTGGGAGCTCAGTCTCACAACCCTGAGATCATGACCTGAACCAAATCAAAAGTCTGATGCTTGGGCGCCTGGGTGGCTCAGTGGGTTAAGCTGCTGCCTTCGGCTCGGGTCACGATCTCGGAGTTCTGGGATCGAGCCCCGCATCGGGCTCTCTGCTCAGCGGGGAGCCTGCTTCCTCCTCTCTCTCTGCCTGCCTCTCTGCCTGCTTGTGATCTCTCTGTCAAATAAATAAATAAAATCTTTAAAAAAAAAAAAAAAAAGTCTGATGCTTAACTGACTGAGCCACTCAGGCACCCCAAGAGATGATTTTTTAAAAATAAAAGTTGTATAATTGACAAATTATTGATAAATAGAAATGAATAAAATTAGAAATTAGGATATGGATAACCGCTATAATTAAAATAATTATGGTCAAATGAATAGTTTATAAGCTGATATATTCAAAATTCAAGAATTGATTTCCTTCAAAAAATATGATATGAAGATTGATTCAAGAAATTGAGAACCTAAGTAGATGAGTCACTGATTAAGAAATCTGGAAAGTTGGGGCACCTGGGTGGCTCAGTGGGTTAAGCCTCTGCCTTCGGCTCAGGTCATGATCTCAGGGTCCTGGGATCGAGCCCCGCATCGGGTTCTCTGCTCGGCAGTGAGCCTGCTTCCCCCTCTCTCTGCCTGCCTCTCTGTCTACTTGTGCTCTCTCTCTCTCTCTCTGTCAAATAAATAAATAAATAAAATCTTAAAAAAAAAGAAAAAGAAATCTGGAAAGTTATAATGAATTTCTCCACCTAGAAATACAGTATTTTTTCTACATTTTCAAATAATAAAGAATTATCAGTTTATATAAACTAACCTAAATATAAGCTCTCTCCCCCCTGTAATGATAGCTCAATATCTGATTTATTCTGCGGTATAGATAGGATGTTAAAGTCTGGCAAAGACAGGAAAAGAAATGCAGGTCAGACTTTTTAATCAGTGTGGGTACAACAGTCTTAAATAAAATTCTGTCAAGTAGAATAAGTTAGCATTTTGAAAGATTTATTTATGATGACTTATATTTTTATCCCTGAGGATAAAGTTCATGAACAGAGTTCATACATAAAGACCATAAGGAAATTTTAGGACAAAAATACAGGTTAAATGGAGAGATAGCCAATATGATATGAAGACTAAACATAGAAAAAATGGTGGTAATTCATACTTTTAACACAGTTGCCGTTAACATAGCAATGGCTACTTTATAGAGTCTATATAAGTCATTCCCACATTGATAGGAAAAAGTAAATGAGCAAGAGGATCAAAAGATGGCCCAAAAGAACAGGCAGTGTGGAAACTTGCTATACCAGATAAGATAGATTACCAAGTCACAACCACTTGTGTAGCCAAAAAAGAGAAAGGAAAACCAGTGGACCAACGTAAATATAAGAAGTGAAATCTAATTTACTCTGAGAATTTAACATAACATGTTAAAACTGAAACCATGAGGAAGGTATCTAGAATTATTATATACCATCTGTCAAATACTCCAAGTGGATTCAAGTTAAAATAATCTCCATAAATGTAAAAAATAATTAAGAGACAAAATACGTTTTTAAACTAATGAAAGAAGAAACAGCAAGCCAGATTAGTATGACTGTATAAAATATTAAAAACTTATATTTAAAAATAAGAGGATATAACAAGATGAAAAGGAAAGCAGTAGAGTGGGGAAATGTTTGAGACAGTTAAAAGTTTAATGTTGCAGTATGAGGACATATTTCTAAGATTATGTTCAAGGGGATTTGTGTCTAAGAATGGTTCATACCATAAGAAATATAAAATAACAAAAGAATATTGAATTACTTAATTTACTGATAATTTAAAATGTAATCTTAAATGCTGTGATATCATAAGTATTTAGTACATGAACAAAAAAGATGATCTTTAAATCCTCTTAAAGCTAATGAGAAACAAATATACTGTAATTTTTCTTATTTGAGTACTGTTTGGCCACATAAAACAAGAACCATTAAAATGATTTTTTTTAAAGATTTTATTTATTTATTTGAGAGAGAGAGAGCGTGAGAAGGGTGAAGGTCAGAGAGAGAGGCAGACTCCCCATGGTGCTGGGAGCCTGATGTGGGACTTGATCCCAGGACTCTGGGATCATGACCTGAGCTGAAGGCAGCTACTCAACCAACTGAGCCACACAGGTACCCTAAAATGATTTTTTTTTTAAAGATATATTTATTTATTTGGAGGGGAGAGGCTGAGGGAGAGGGAGAGAGAAACCCAATGGGCTAATCCCACTATCCTGAGATCATGACCTGAACTGAAAACAAGAGGCCCTTACCTGACCACATTACCCAGGTGTCCCAAAACAATTATTTTTTATTCAGTAACCTCATTGTTGGAAATTTATTTCAGGGCAAGAATTTAAAAGAATAAGAACATCATTGGGGTGCCTGGGTGGCTCAGTCATTAAGTGTCTGCCTTTGACTCAGGTCATGATCCCAGGGTTGTGGGATCGAGCCTTGCATCCGGCTCCCTGCTTGGTGGGAAACCTGCTTCTTCCTCTCCCACTCCCCCTACTTGTATTCCTGCTCTTGCTGTCTGTCTCTCTGTCAAATAAATGAAACCTTCAAACAAACAAACAAACAAAAAACGTGTAGATCTTTGAAAACAAGCTAATTTATATAAATTATATTTAATATAAATTATAATTATGTATGGTATATCTTTAAAAAACACAATTTATATAAATGTTACACAAAAAGATAAAACAAAAGCTTTGAAAGCAGCCTAAACACTCAAAATTCTAGCATTTAAAGGATTATAATGCAACCATTAAAAGTTTGAATATGCAAATTAGGCAGAATCATGGAAATTTACATGTATGTAATATGTAAAACAGTGGAATGCAAGACAGTATATGATGTATTTGTTAATTAGGTGAAGAATTTACACATAGTGATACAGGCTAATTTTATCTAAGTTAATGGAATTTATAAGGACTTCAGGTGGATACTCATCTGTGCCAACAACCGGTGGCCTTTCAGACACCTCTAACAGGTTGTGTTTCTGTTGCACAGTGCTTATTTCAGGTTCTGGTCAATGTTTCCTGGAGTGGGAAACCCGGGAAGCCTAGCATTGCCGTGGTGGCGGTGAGCACCCAGCATGGATCTCTCCTGCAGCTTAATGACACCTTGGAAGAGAAAGAAGTTTGTAGGTTTGTACCTGCTTTGATTTGACCCTACTGGCATGACGCCTGCAGTTTCTGTCTAGTTTTTGTCCCGTATTTGGTTTTTAGCTTTTACTTCCATCAAAATATTTTTTTATATCTTTCCCGGTCTGCACTCAGGAATGCCTGTCACTCTGCCTTGATGACATTACCATAATCCAACTCCTTATGTTCTGCTCTAACCATTTTTCTTAATTTTACCACATCTTCGTAGGCTGGAATATAAATTTGGAGAATTTGGAAATTACTCACTCGTGGTAAAGCACTCCCATAATGGAGTCGGTGAAAATGCTTGTGACATAGTTGTCAACAAGAAGCCAGTCGACAGTAACCTTCGTACGTATAGGCTCTTCGTTGATTTTTTTTTAAAATTTGTGTTTTACAGGTTTTAGTTTTTGAATAATTTTTGCAACACTCTGTGTACTCTAAAACTTGGATTAAAGGTTATCTATCTTATTTAGTTGTGGTATATTTATAATGTATTGATTGTGTCATGGGTGTATACCAAAAAATTATGTGATACATAAGAAAATTATATAATCAACATCTTCTCATAGATGTTCTCTAGTGTAATGATGAAGCATAAATAAGCCAAAAAAAGTTAGTGCAATAGAAAGAAACTAGAAGGGACGCCTGGGTGGCTCAGTTGGTTAAGCAGCTGCCTTCGGCTCAGGTCATGATCCCAGTGTCCTGGGATCGAGTCCCACATCGGGCTCCTTGCTCGTCAGGGAGCCTGCTTCTCCCTCTGCCTGCCATTCTGTCTGCCTGTGCTCGCTCTCTCTCCCTCTCTCTCTCTGACAAATAAATAAATAAAGTCTTTAAAAAAAAAAAAAAGAGGGGCGCCTGGGTGGCTCAGTGGGTTAAAGCCTCTGCCTTCGGCTCAGGTCATGATCCCAGGGTCCTGGGATCGAGCCCCGCATCGGGCTCTCTGCTCAGCAGGGAGCCTGCTTCCTCCTCTCTCTCTCTCTGCCTCTCTGCCTGCTTGTGATCTCTCTCTGTCAAAGAAATAAATACAATCTTTAAAAAAAAAAAAAGAAAGAAAGAAAGAAAGAAAGAAACTAGAAATAGGGCAAATGACTGTCAAGTATCTTTCGTCGTTTTAGGATAGAGGGCACAGTATTCCCTGTGTGGGTCTTATAGGGACAGTTCAGAAGTCCCTGAGATTAAGGAGGGACTGTTTATTCTCTAATAACTCCACTGAAGAAAATCTGTCAGTCCTTCAGCTCAGGTCACGATCCTGGTGTCCTGGAATTGAGCCCCGCATCAGGCTCCCTGGTCAGTGGGGCGTCTGCTTCTCCTCCCTCTACCTGTCCCTCGCTGCTCGTGCTTTCTCTTGCTTTCAAATAGATAAATAAAATCTTGAAAAAGAAAAAGAAAATCTGTTGGTCTGAGCCCCCCCCATTAGATAATCCCTGTGGCATTAATAAGTACTGTGTACAGCGAAGCTTTTGAAGACCATAGGGTCATGTCAAAAGAATGGAAGAACCAACATGAAAGGGCCAACATGAGCCAGTTCAAGCATTTGAAAGAATAATGAATGTAATGGATGGAAACACATTGAATCTACAAAAACCAGTGAGTCCCTTCTGAAACTTAAAAGAACAGAGCCACTTGCCTAAACAAAGGCAATATTTCAGTTGCCTTTGGAGGTAACAAGGACACCTGATAACCGGAGTGACTTAAAATCATTAATTGAAAGGGAGGATCTAAGCATTTATCCTGCATTTCCTATTTTAATTGTATTTTAGGATAACTAAGTAGGCTGAGATGTTGAGGGTAAATTCTTCAAGGAGTAATCCAGCTATTACATGTGGCAGAATGGCACACTGTTTTGTAACCCTTAATGAAGGAATTGATGTAGATGAAAATCGTGAGTGGATGAAACCATCGTATGAAAGAGGAACTGGGACAGGAGGGCCAGGCTTTCCCCATCTGACACGGGCATTGAGCATATGGTCAACCACCCCAGGTGCGCCTGATGTGGGGAGTGGGAAGGACACAGCACCATCTGTGAAGTATTCTTCCCCCCAAAAGTTGAACTTTGTTAGTCAAGCCTCTACAGCTAATTGCCCATATGCAGAACATTGGATGAATAGAACGAGTTCAGTGACACCATGAGGAAGCAGACCGACAGATCTAGAACATGAGACATCCTCATAGATAACTTGTTTCGAACAAGTCAATGTCTGCTTTTGTCTAAACACAACTAAAGAGACATAAAGAGCAAATAGAAAATGTGAACCTTGTTTGTATCCTGACCTGAACACACTAACTACAAATAGCATTTTTGAAATAATTAGAAAAATTGAAATATGGACTCTGTTAGAGAGGAGTTGTTAATGATATGGTAGATGTAAATATGTATATAACAAAAGGTCCATTTTTAAGAATATTTTAATTTTTTTTTTAAGATTTCATTTATTTATTTGACAGAGAGAGACACAGTGAGAGAGGGAACACAAACAGGGGGAGTGGGAGAGGGAGAAGCAGACTCTCCTGTTGAGCAGGGAGCCTGATGCGGGGCTCGATCCTAGGACCCTGGGACCATGACTTGAGCCGAAGGCAGATGCTTAACGACAGCCACCCAGATGCCATAAGAATCTTTTAATTTTGAAATTATTTTAGACTTAAAAGAAACATGGGAAAAAAGCGTTCCCATAAACCCTTTTCCCAGCCCTAACCCTAACCCTAACTCTAACCCTAAAGCCCTAAACTATATAATCATAGTATAGTACATAGTATAGTTACCCATATATAATGCTTGAAACCAGGACGCTAACATTAATATAGCGCTGTTAACTGATGAAGGCTTTTCAGATTTCTCCCATTGTTCCTTCAAGGCCCATTCTTTGGTCCAGGATGCAGTCCAGGATCCCACAGTCCTTTTAGTTGTTAGGTTTCTGCAGCCTTTCTTTGTCTTTTTTGACCTTGACACTTTGGAAGAGGACTGGCCAGTTATTTTGTTATTTGCACTTGCATGCTGTTTTCTCTCAGCTAGGTAGAAGGCATGCATTTTCCATAGATGTCTCCAGAAGCCGCCTCAGTGGGCCACGTCAGGGGTTGCACGATGCCAACACGTCTTTTGTGAGGCCTGTGCTTTAGAGCTACGTACTGAAGGTGGACGGAGAAAATGACGTCATGTCTGGGATTTGCTTAAAAATACTTCCAGCAAAAAACCAGAGGCAGAGTAGCAACAGATGAAGCAAGAGTGACAGTATCTTGATAATTCTAGAATCTGGATAATGGGTATTTGGGGGTTTATTATGCAAGTCTCTGTTCTTTTGTCTATATTTGATATTTTTCATAATGAAAATGAGTGCTCCTCTAATGATGAATGTTCTCAAGTGTTTTTAGGAAAGTTAGCAGAAGAATATAGGCTTTTCCCTTGTTTTGTGTGCATTTTTTAATTTATAGATTAAACTTAATGACCTGACAGCTTCCATGCTTAGGATGACACTTTGGTGATATGGTGTTTTCTTTGATTTTTTTTATAGCTGTGTGTATCGCGTTCCTTATTGGTGTGGCACTCATCATTGCAGTATCCTTTCTGAGGTTTTTGTTGAGGTAAGCAAATGTTAGGGGAGGGCACAGTTGGGGAAGGTAGAATATAGAAAAAAATAAATTCAGGAAGGCTAGTTTGGCCCCTTCAGTGACCATTATCCTTTGATTAAATGAATACTTAACTGGGTCTACCATGCCCAGTCCAGCCTGGGGTATGAGGGATCAATGTAGAATAAGAGGTGGTCCCTGACTTCAGGGTCATGATAACCTAGTTCGAATGGATCTTTGCCTTCCGTCCTCCCAGATGGCTGAAAAGAGAGAAGAAAATGCTTGAGTCATTATTCCCCAAAGCATCTCACAGCCTGCTTTGGTAGTGAGTAGGAGTTGGCCTGGGCTGATCTCAGGAGGCAGATGCTGCCTTACACTTCTCCTGTCCTACCCTGAGCCACGAGGCCACCCCTCTGGTCCAGCTTCCCAGCTCCTGCCCTCTGGGCATCAGGCAGCAGAGATGGAGACTGGGGCGCTGGATCTCCGGACCTTGGTGTGGACTCGCTTTTCCCTGCTTGAGACTGGCAGCTTGGCGAGGGGTTCCTTCTCTGTCTGCCTGGTTAACAGCGAGTCCACACGAGATGAGAGAGTGAAAGTGAGTGAATGGACTGGGAAAGAAAAAGTCACATAAATATAGGCCAGCAGGTCACCTTTTAAAGGAAAGTTCTTTCATATTTTTAAAGATGTAAGATTGATGGAATTTTCCTATGCTCAGCCTGTTAGGGTCAGGAAGGATCGCAAGATTTTATTTATGGGTGAGCCGAATTCAGACTGGAAGGGAGAAAACCTAGTATTTCAAATCTGCTGCCTTGAGGAAACCTAGCAGCTTGGGGTAGTTCAGACACCCTTGACTTTCTTCCTTTGTGCATCCTAGAAATACAAGGGTCTGTAAGGGTAAAAGGACTACTTCTTGCTCAGAAGCAGATTTTTAACCTGACTGCGTTTTAGGGGCAGAGTTGTTTATTTGAATTAAGATATTATCTAGTCAATCTTTTGGTAAGATGCAGATACTACTCCAGTTCATTAATGTTTTCATTTGGTCCCTTTAATATGAATGGATCTTTGACATCACTTTTTAAAGTAATTGGTAGCTGATCTTGAGCTCTTGGAAAGGGAACAAACCCCACCTCATTCCACTGTGGAATTGAAACTCCTCGTAGCTTGTGGTTCACCTCTTCAGCCTTGCGGGCAGAAGGCTCTGATGGCAAAGCGGGAGTCCCTTGTCCCTTGCCCCAGCACTTTGCAACGGGCCCCTGGAAGTCCAGGGATGTTCAGGTGTGTCGCAGGAACCAGAACAAAATCTGAGTTGGTAGTAAGAATACAGGTTCTCTCTCCTTTCACTGGGAGGACAAGCATGGAAAAGGAAGTCAAGCGTGTTTCTAAAATTTTAATTTTTAAATACCTTACCTTCTCCTTTCCCCCTTCTTAGATGTCTTGATTTTAATAGTTTTCATGTGATGGTGATGTTACCAGTGCTGAATAAAGTAGAAATAGGAGTGAGTTGTGGGGAATAAAGAGAAAAAATAAGAATATATGTCTTAGATATGTGGGTCATGTTTAGAGGCTGATTTGAGTAATTAAGAAAAACTTACGAGACAGAAATTGAACTGGATCTTTTATGATAATAATTACTGATAATAAAATTATTGATAATAAAACCAAGGAATTATTGATAATATTTTAAAACTGAATAATGGAACTGCAGTTCTGTTAAAAAAAAGAGGGGTCGTTTATTTTTTAGATCTACAAACTGCAGTATTTATGGATTAAATGACACCATGTTTGGGATTCTTTAATAGTCAATCCTAAGGCAAGGGGGTAAGAGGTGGGAGTGTGGATGAAGTAAGACCCACCACACTTAAAGACACTTTAAAATGTTTAATTCTTTGACTTGTATAGAGTATGAATTTAGTGAATTTTTTTCAGTACAGTACACAATCATTTTGAAAATTCTGCCAAAGAAAATAAATTAACTGAGCTTTTTATTTATTTATAGTTTAGACGACTTTCATAATTGGATTTCTAAAGCAATAAATTCCCGGGAAACTGATCGCCTCATCAATTCTGTGAGTTATTAGAATGCAATACGTGTGGTGGTTTTCTCTATTTGGAATTTATAATTCCCTATTTAATAATCTTTATTATCTGGCTTAATTAATCTTATTTATATTGTGGAAGGCCAGGTCAGTCGTGTGTTCTGTAGCCTTCATAAAGAGAGGCAGCCTTATCTGCAGCTCTGGTGAAGGGCACCATCCCCTTCTCTTTCCTGGTGAAGCTGGAACTTTGGGTTGCATTATATGCATGGTGTGGAGACATTTTTCTCTCTGCAGGCTGCACTGTTGAATCGATCCAGTTAAATAGAGAATATCAAGATGAAAACAATAGAGCTATCAATATGAAATCTAAAAATCGATGGCTTCCTGTGGTAATTAAATATATTATTTATTTTAATAAATTCATTATGGACATAGATATGTCCATAAATGGGCATATTTGCTTGTCCTCTTGTACCAGATGTGCTTAGGGACCAGGTCTTTGTGGTGGTTCATCAGCATGGCTTGGCAGACAGCACAGAAATCAACTGTGAAAAACTAAACCTCTGGGTGGGACCTTTACAAAAGCAAATTAAAGGATTATTTGGACAATGGTTTTTAGCTCTCCCATCTGTTAATCTCTTCCCTAAAAAACCAGAAAACTGAAATTAACTCACTATATTATCAACTGGCATGTTTCTCTCCCCGTTTTTCTGAAGGAGCTGGGGTCTCCAAGCAGGGCAGCCTCCATCGGTGGCGATGCTCAACCGGAAGCATGGCGTCCGCCCGCTGCAACGCCACGCCTCCGCTGTATAGACACATTCAGGGGGTATGTGGGGCTTCCATGGGGCATGGTGGGCACAGGCAGTCTAGAATTACATGTTTACACATAAACACGCTTTTAACTATTTTACATAACTTTTACTTCGTAGGATAGGCAGGACTTCTTGGTGTGAGAATAAAATCAGTGGCCTCTCTTTACTCAAAAACTGTCATGATAGCAAGTATAAAGTTGCTGGAGAAGAATCAAGGGATGAGGCCAGAGCCAGTTTGCGCTAGTACGGAGATTCTGCTGAGTTAAGGTCATGTGGGCAGGCAGTGGCACGTCCATCTGCACCCCCCTGTCCCATCAGACAAATGAAACACCAGCGTGCGCCAGCCCCAGCCCTTCCCCACTGCTAGCAAAACAGCTTGAATATCAAGCCCTCTGGGAGACAAATCCAGCGTCCTGCAGCAACTTGTTATTTTAGAGTTTGGGTAGAAGTGTGAGGGCCAGGACCCAACTCTGGAAATAAAGTTTAGAACCATATAGCTGAAAATAAACATGTAGGTGTTAGGCCTTCCATTTCTACCCATGGAGGGCTTTCATTTTTTATTTTTTTTTATTAAGATTATTTATTTATTTGATAGAGAGAGTAGGAGATAGAGGAGAAAGAGTAGGAGAAGCAGACTCCTCACTCAGTGAGGAGACAGACCCTGTGGAGCTTGATTCCAGGACCCTGGGATCATGACTTGAGCCAAAAGCAGACACTTACCTGACTGAGCCACCATGTGCCCCTTATGGAGGGCTTTGAAACTCTGGTGATAATTACAGTTCTGTCCCAGCCTCCTCAGACACTGAGTGCTCTGGGGTGCATGTTGGAAGCCAGGCAGTAATAAGAATTAAAACCATTGCAAAGGATTCTTGAATTCTCACCCTGTGCCAGGTACTGTTCTTACTTGTCATAGTTTATTCAATCTCTTAACAATCCCATGAGGCATGTCCTTTTAAGATGTCTGTTGTACAGGTGAAGAGACTGGGCCACAGAGTTAAGTAACATGTCTGAGGTCACTTGGGGATGATGTGGGATGGCTGGGATCTGACTCCAGGAGTTTGGCTCCAGAGTCCCCACAGATAACTGCAGTGACACACTCAAGTCTTCATTCTTCAGTATCTTACAGAATCAGCATTAAACAGTAGCATATTTAGAGTCTGTTTTATCATATTCCTCTTTCTTTTTTTTTTTTTTTTTTTAGGAGAGGGACAGGGAGAGGGGCAGAGGGAGAGAGAGAATCTTTTTTTTTTTTTTTAAGATTTTATTTATTTATTTGACAGAGATCACAAGTAGGCAGAGAGGCAGGCAGAGAGAGAGAGAGAGAGAGAGAGAGGAGGAAGCAGGCTCCCTGCTGAGCAGAGAGCCCTACGTGAGGCTCGAACCCAAGACCCTGGAATCATGACCTGAGCTGAAGGCAGAGGCTTTAACCCACTGAGCCACCCAGGCGCCCCGAGAGAGAGAATCTTAAACAGACTCCACACCCTTCATGGAGCCCAACGTGGGGCTCGATCTCACAACCTGAGATCATGACCTGAGCTGCAAGAGTCAGAAGCTTAAAACAGCCACCCAGGAGCCCCTATTCCTCTTTTTTTCTGATTCTCATTGCCACTTTTAGAGATGAGATGTTAGCTGGTAGATAGGAACTAACATTTGTTAAGTGCCTAAAATGTGCCAAGCGCTGGTTAGGTGCCATGATATACATCATTTTCCTCAGTGGTTCCAGGGGTCCCTGTGGGTATGTTCCCTGTCTTACAGAGGAGCACACTGAGGTAACTGATGAGAGTTTTGCCCTAATAAGAGTTGAGGGCCCATGATTCGAGCCTTCAGCTCTAATGACTATATGCCTTCTACTACAGTTCTTTAAACCTGCAACATCTAAGTAATTAGCACAGAGTGGAGTGATGGGAAATGTTCTGCTTTGTTTTCAAGTTATACAGTTCAGTGTCAGTGTAATTTTCTCTTAAGAAATCATGTTGGTGGGGCGCCTGGGTGGCTCAGTGGGTTAAGCCGCTGCCTTCAGCTCAGGTCATGATCTCAGGGTCCTGGGATCGAGTCCCGCATCAGGCTCTCTGCTCAGTAGGGAGCCTGCTTCCCTTCCTCTCTCTCTGCCTGCCTCTCTGCCTACTTGTGATCTCTCTCTGTCAAAGAAATAAATAAAATCTTTAAAAAAAAAAAAAAAGAAATCATGTTGGAGGGGCACCTGGGTGGCTCAGAGGGTTGAGCCTCTGTCTTTGGCTCAGGTCATGGTCTCAGGGTCCTGGGATCAAGCCCCGCATCGGGCTCTCTGCTCGGCGGGAAGCCTGCTTCCTTCTCCCTCTCTGCCTGCCTCTCTGCCTACTTTTGACCTCTCTCTGTCAAATAAATAAATAAAATCTATTAAAAAAAAAAAAAAAGAAAAAGAAATCATGTTGGAGGGGCGCCTCTGTGGCTTAATCAGTTGAGTGTCTGACTCTTGATCTCAGCTCAGGTCTTGATCAGGGTCATGAGTTCGAGCCCCGCATGGAGCCTAGTTAAAAAAGATCAGGGGGCGCCTGGGTGGCTCAGAGGGTTAAGCCTCTGCCTTCGGCTCAGGTCATGATTCAGGGTCTTGGGATCGAGCCCCACATCGGGCTCTCTGCTCATCAGGGAGCCTGCTTCCTCCTTTCTCTCTGCCTATCTCTCTGCCTACTTGTGATCTCTGTATGTCAAATAAATAAATAAAAATCTTAAAAAAAAATTTTTTTTAAAAATCAGGTTGGAAATGTTGGCAACAGAAGGGCTTTGTGTAGGGCCCAAATTGTAGTAATTAGAAATAATAGTTTCCTGCTCTTTAAGTGTATCTGTGTTGTGACTGCCCCTGTGAGTGTAAGTGTGTCTCTTGCAGTTGGGCCATTCCCTGTCACATGGGCAAGCCCTGAAAGTGTGCTCCTTGCTGCTTTACAGGATAGCTCTCATCCTCATGGTCTTCGTCAATTATGGAGGAGGAAAATATTGGTACTTCAAACACTCAAGTTGGAATGGTAAGATATTTCCTCAAAGTGGTATTGTTTGCGTAGGACCCTCAGAGAAGTGTGGTCAAGAGAACCTCTCAGCATCCTCTCAGGAGCTCAGAGACAAGGCCCCACCAGCCTCCTCTGAGTGCTGATCTCCTGCCCCCATACGATGACCTTTAGATGATGCTGTTAACCCTTTTGTTTTGTTCTTGGCTTTCCTGTGCTGTGGCTTTGTAATGCTTCACTGTGATAACACGCGGATGCCCAAGACTCTGCTGCAGGGCTATGGGACTCTGCAGAAGCTGTTAAGAATTTAGTTGTAAATGGTTCTTGTCATCTTCTAGATGCACCTTTTATTACAGCCACACGGGAGTTCTACCTTCTAAGACTCATGGTCCTCCTCAGGGTGCCATTGAACTCAGGTTGGTCTGAGTGGTGTTGAGTAATGGCTGTAAACCTGGCTCAGTAGTTGGTTTAAGAATGGATTTTGAATAACACAGCTTGAAGATAACAGACTTGTCCACAGACTTCTACTCTGGTTTTCCCCTGCTCAGTCATGTTCTTAGGAAATGCACCAGGCCTGGTGACTGGGTCGAGGGTCCCCAAGGTCTGTATGTTACCTCACAGTGTTTTCCTGCAAACTCCCAGTGTGAGTTTACTTTCCATATATATCAGTATGTAAAGGAGCCATTCTAGTTTTAGGAAGTATTTACATTCTAGAGTCTTTTTCCTTACTCTTGTGCTTGTGTTATTCTCCAGGACTGACGGTGGCTGACCTCGTATTCCCATGGTGAGTTGCAGTCTACCACCAGCTCTTCCATAGGTCATCCAAGTGTCCAGCTCATGCTGGAGCCTTTCTCTGAGACCATCCTTGAGTTCTGGGCCACAGGTCTATGTTGCTTACAGGTCCTTCCAAAAGTTATGTTACTGGATAGTTCATATGCTTGGTAAGAGGGCGTATCTGAAACCTGCATATAAAAGATGAATGATTTCACAGGGAACATTTTGTTTTTGTAGATATGGTATATAAGATCTTGGGATCTTATAGGAAATCATAAAATCTGAATATGTGGTTAAATTCCACTAATACTGAAAATAAGTATAAAAGTCATATTTCCTAAAAGAAATTATAGTATATTGGCATCAGGAAATTCTGATAAGTATGTAACAGGGCAATGATAGTATTAAATTAAAATTAAAAGTAATACAGGAATGACCTACTCTGTCTCTGACCTTGTTAAGGGACCCCGACTTCTTGTATAATGTGGGATTTGTGTCATTGCCTCTGACGCTTTGAGTGACTTTGTCCCATTTGTAGGAAGTAGTACTAGCTATTGGTTTATGTCTTTGGTCCCTTGTGTTTCATCACAATATGAACTCAGGGTTTCTTGTGGGGGAGCTGCGGTTCTTGCTTGAGGTGGTTTTGGGTTTGAGGAAGTTTTACATGCCTGAAGACCTGTAATTATTTATGTACATTTTTTTAAAGATTTTATTTATTAGAGCATGTGCATGAACAAGGGGCAAAGGCAGAGGGAGACGCAGACTCCCTGCTGAGCAGGGAGCCCAGTGCATGGCTCAATCCCAGGAAACTGGGATCATGAATTGAGCTGAAGGCAGACGCTTAATGGACTGAACCACCCAGAGTTCCCATTTATGTACATTCTTTATGAGATTCCCTGTAGGAAATGTGTTCCCATTTCTGTTAATAGACACTTTTTATCCAATTAGGTGACCCCAAGAAGGGAAGCCAGGGGATATCAAGAAATGTGGCAAGGGCAAATTCTCACCTCTGTTAGACCTCACACTCAATCATTGGAAAGATTGCTATTCCAACTTTTTTTTTCAAAGAGTTAATTTAGTAAAAGGGAAGAAAAGAGGTATGTGGCTCAGACAAAATTAGGAAAAGAAATAGCTTTCATTTTTCTTTTAGGAGAAAGAGTGAATTTAGAAATGATTGATGTGTGTTTGTTTCTCAGGGACTTTGAGGGTGTGATGAATGTCTAGTTGTTTCGATTCTAGCATCTTCATCATTGTTTCTCTCTCTCTTTTTTTAATTTAATTTAAAAATTTTATTAACATATAATGTATTATTAGCCCCAGGCGTACAGGTCTGTGAATCGCCGGGTTTATACACTTCACAGCACTCACCATAGCACATACTCTCCCCAATGTCCATAACCCAGCCACCTTCTCCCTACCCCCCCACCCCACAACCCTCAGTTTGTTTTGTGAGATTAAGAGTTTCTTATTGTTTCTCTTTAATAATAAATGGGAAACTTGTCCTTGGAAATTGTACTCAGCCCTGAAGAATTTTCCTTCTAGGATATGACTTGATGGTGTACAAACCTTATAGTCCAACATGGTTTTGTTCTGATTCTTTCTCCAGTGTTACTTTCATAATTGGCCACTTTAGAAAAATAATATATCGCTGCTTTTATGTAGTAGATTATAAAATATTAATGATATATAGACAAAAAAAACCCCACCCTAGAAATGATCACCTCTTAATAGCTGTCTTTTTTTCTAGGTTTGTATTTATTATGGGATCTTCAGTTTTTCTATCAATGACTTCCATACTGCAACGAGGATGTTCAAAATTCAGATTGCTAGGGAAAATTGCATGGAGGAGTTTCCTGTTAATCTGTATCGGAGTGGTCATTGTGAACCCCAATTATTGCCTTGGTCCATGTAAGTATTTTTTCACCTCTTGTTAGCATATATTGTGGTTGAAATATGGAAGCTACGTGTCATAATTTTAAAAGAAATATAACTCCTCCATCTCAGATACCCGCAAGTGTATACCTGCTTGTATAACTTCAGCCATTATTGTTACTGTCTTTGGACTTCAGACCTGGGAAGAGCTTCTAAGACCAGTCAGACCCTTCTGCTGTACAGAGGAATACTCGGAGTCCTAGAGAGATTGAAGTGCTTTCTGTGGGTCTTCTGAGGCAGGAACAGAGTAGTAGGGCCAGATCAGGTCACCTCGTTCTGGACCCTGCCTTCCTGCCACTTTGGATTCATCAGCTTCCATAAGGAGATTGTATGGTAGTTCAAGAATCCACCTTTGTCATCACTTGTATGCCCGCTGGGTTGCTGGGAAGGAATATCTTTGTTATTGTTTTAGCAGTGAGTGAGATGGGAAGGCCAAGGGAAGGACGCATACCCCGTGCTTGCGACCTGCATCAGGGTCAGGAAAGGCAGTAGTTAGCTGTACTCAAGGGTCATACAATGGCATTAGCAAAACAGGACACAGTTATCTGGACAGTAGCCAGATCGTCCCTATGGACAAGAAGCACTAAGAGTAGCCATTAGGGGGAGATAGAGGTCGCTTCCAGTTGGGGTCAGAAGGGAAGGTATCATTGAATAGTTGATTCGATGCATCTCAAAAAAATGAGCCACTGCTCCCAGGAGAATATATGGTAGGATTCCTTACATGGTCCCACTCTTCCAGTGATGTAGCCATGAAGCTTGTAAGACAGGGAGAGTCTGTTGGTGGCCTGTGCTGGCTCTGCAAGTTGCTGGTGGATGTGAGAGTCGATTGAATCCATACCCAGAATGACAAAGGGCCAGGAGAGGAACTTCAGGGCCCAGGTAGTCCTTGCTTTATCTCATACTGAAGGAACATGTGTTCTTTTTTTTTTTTTTTTTTAAAGATTTTTATTTATTTATTTGACAGACCGAGATCACAAGTAGGCAGAGAGGCAGGCAGAGAGAGAGGAGGAAGCAGGCTCCCTGCTAAGCAGAGAGCCCGATGCGGGGCTCGATCCCAGGACCCCGGGATCATGACCCGAGCCGAAGGCAGAGGCTTTAACCCACTGAGCCACCCAGGTGGCCCCCCCCTTTTTTAAAGATTTTATTTATTTATTAGAGAGAGTGAGAGAGAGCCTGAGAGGGGAGAATGTCAGAGGGAGAAGCAGATTCCCCATGGAGCTGGGAGCCCGATGTGGGACTCGATCCGGGGACTCTGGGATCATGACCTGAGCCGAAGGCAGTCGTCCAACCAACTCAGACACCCAGGCACCCGAACACATGTGTTCTTATCCCTGTGTCCCAGCTGGCCACTTCCTACTATGAGTTTGAGCCAAGTCCCCTATGTATTCCTATCTCCAAGGGCCGAGACAACAACTTAAGTGCAATAGAGGTATGCTTTCCCCCCCTAGAGAACAGTTATGTTGGCTAGGGCAGGAGGAGGAATGCTGGCTAACACTTCACCAAATTTGTGCCTTCTGCAGTGTCTTGGGATAAGGTACGAATTCCTGGTGTGCTCCAGAGGCTGGGGGTGACCTACTTTGTGGTTGCTGTGTTAGAGCTCATCTTTGCTAAACCTGTGCCTGAAAGTTGTGCCTCGGTAAGAAATCCTACTTTTAAACATGGGGTGGTGAGGGGGGGATGGTGGGAATCACTGTATGATTTTCAGAATCTTCTTTAGTTCTGGGCAGAATAGTGTATCTCAGTAGACTCCTTAACTCTGTTAGTCAAGTGCATTCTTTTTTCCTTCAATTAGTTATTTTCCTTTAGTCTTTACATCAATCCTTTTTTCTCTGTTGTGGGGAAGAAAACCACATACCATGAGATCTACCCTCTTAATACTTTTTTTTTTTTTTTTTTTTTTTTTTTGGCCAGAGAGAGTGAGCACAGGCAGACAGAGTGGCAGACAGAGGCAGAGGGAGAAGCAGGCTTCCTGCTGAGCAAGGAGCCTGATGTGGGACTCGATCCCAGAACGCTGGGATCATGACCTGGGCCGAAGGCAGCCGCTTAACCAACTGAGCCACTCAGGCGTCCCTCTTAATACATTTTTAAGTGCCCAGTAATCAAATGCATTTTGATGGCATTAAATAATATCAGCTAGTTCGCTAGTTCAGTCTTTGGGGGCATTACTGCCAGTTTTTCCATTTTGTCGTAGTACAGGATATTTAGAAAACTCACAAAACATTTCAGTATCTATATGGATGCTGTGAAGATTAGAGGAAAAATGCCAAAGTAGGGTAGAGGAGAATGACAGTATTATCCTTGGCTGTTTGGCTACTTCATATTTCTTTTTTGTGGGAAGTATGAGAGCCTCACTTCTTTCACGATTGCTTTTTATCTTACTATAAATTACTGCAGATGGAGCTTTTTTTTTTTTCCCTGCTAGAGACAAATATTCAGGAAGAAATGTTTAAATTTTTTTTTTTTTGGTTTGTTTATTTATTTAACAGAGATCACAAGTAGGCAGAGAGAGAGGAGGAAACAGGCTCCCTGCTGAGCAGAGAGCCCAATGCGGGGCTCGATCCCAGGACTCTGGGATCATGACCTGAGCCAAAGGCAGAGGCTTTAACCCACTGAGCCACCCAGGCGCCCCAGAAGTGTTTAAATTCTTCCACTTGGGGTCCTTCTTAATAAATTAATAAAGCTGTATTTGTTTTCTGGCTCATTTCCATATATGTAACTAGCAAATTCATTACTAAACTGATTTTCTTGGCTCTTCCTGTAATGATTGCTTGGTCATATATCCTTGGAGTGCATTGGATCATTATTCATTTACCTGCTCTCCCTGCTGTGTCATTGTTTGTGTACCCTCTGCTGTGGATTTTCTTGAGATGGAGCGAGATGAGACATGAATATGGGCTTGGTTAGTCATGTGGGACCCAAGGTCTGTGGAGGCTCATCTGCCACCCCCACAATGGAGCGAGGGTTTGGGTGAGATACCAGGAATAGGTAGGCTGTACTCCTTCCTTCAGTCAGGACAGCTCCAAAAGTTTAAATTTCATTTTCCTTTCTTAAAGTGTGTTTTTTATAATAGCTTTTTAAATGGCAGCTTTATTGAGATATATTTCACATACCATAAAACTCACAAGTTTGAAGTGTGTAATTCAATGATACTTAGTATATTCACAGAGTCGTGCAGTCATCACCACTGCCCAATTCTAGAATGTTTTCTTTACCTCACAAGAAACCCTGTATTCACTACCAGCCACTTGCTGTTCCCCGTGACTCTCCCAGCCCCAGGCAACCCCTCCTCCACTTTCTGTCTCTGTAGATTTACCTGTTTTGGACATTTCATATAAATGGAATTATATAACATGTGCCTTTCTGTTTGGTTTCTTTCACTTAGCATATTTTTCAAGGACCATGTATTGGTGCTTTATTCCTTTTTATTGCTGAATAATACTCCATTTTATGAATGTACTACTTTCTTGATACATTCATCAGTTGATAGGCATTTGACTTATTTTCATTCTTTGGCAAGTATGAATAAAGATTCCATGTATATTTGTATATAAGTTTTTGTGTGAACATCTGTTTTCAATTCTCTTGGATGTAAGAGTAGAATTGTCCAGTTAATTTTTTTTAAGATTTTATTTTTTTATTTAGAGAGTGAGCATGAGTGGGGGAGGGGTAGAGGGAGAGGGAGAGAGCAAATCCCAAACAGACTCCATGCTAAGTGCAGAGCTGGATGCAGGGCTTGATCTTACCTGAGCCAAAATCAAGAGTTGGGCACTTAACTGACTGAGCCATCCCGGTGTCCCATCCAGTGATTTCTTCTTAACTAATGTTTTACTATATTTCATGGAGAGGGGCAGGTAGACCACATAATGTATATGAAATAAACATGCATCTGTTTTTGTATTACTACCATAAAGGCCAACAGAAGAATCACCAGGAATTTCCCAAATATGTTTACTGCATATTTTTTCCTCTTCAACTTAAATGTAGTTCATTTTTGTTTTTTTAATAACTCCTCACTCAGGAGAGAAGCTGCTTTTCCCTTCGAGACATCATCTTCAGCTGGCCCCAGTGGCTCTTCATTCTGATGCTGGAAAGCATTTGGCTGGCTTTGACATTCTTCTTGCCTGTTCCTGGATGTCCTACGTAAGTGAGCCCATGTAGGTAATCCCTTTTTGCATGTCCTTTTCTGCCAAGTCAGAGCTTCTGGGGTGAGAACTTGCAGATTTCCAGAGGAAGAGGAACTTGCTTTCTCTCTCTCTTCTCCTTTGAGCCATCATGTGTATTGGGAGAGGAGTTTGGTGTACGTCCAGAGGACTGTCTCCATGAGGCTTTTTCGGGGTCTGTTTGAAGGGAAGTTGGGCTGTCCGCCTTAGCTTGTGGGGAGTAGTCAAGTCAGAAGAGCATCCATGAGGAGTGCGTGGTACCAAGGAGTCTCAGTGTTTGAGGCTTCTTGTTGGGCTGTGACCGTTGCCAGGATAAGCCTTATTCGCACTGAAGTCTTGTCAATTAAGTACATGTTTTCACTTTCCCAGTGGTTATCTCGGCCCTGGTGGCATTGGAGATTTGGGGAAGTATCCAAATTGTACTGGAGGAGCTGCTGGCTACATTGACCGCCTGCTTTTGGGAGATGACCACATTTACCAGCATCCTTCTTCCGCCGTGAGTGAGCCGACCTTGCACTTTCAGTGAGACCCTTGGGAGCTCTGAAGTGAAGGAAAACAGAAAGGGCCAGACAACTGGAGACTCTGTCCATTTAACAAACTATCATGGGAACTAATTTTTATTTGAAAAGTTCACTGATGTAGGAAATGGAGTGTTTATTATGGGTCTGTGTATCTCAGTAACTTTGGATTTGAAAGTGCAGATGCAGTGGATCAGGCATGTGGTGGCTCAGCTCAGACTTCCTGGCAGCAGACTCTGAGGCCCAGATTGGTGTGTAGGAAGCTTACAGGTCATCCTTTCGGAATCAGCCCCTGCTCAGGATCAGAGGAAGCAGGAACGAGCAGAAGGGGAAGTTGGACTGGCTGGTAGTCACACAAGGCCTTAGCTAATCTCCTGCGGGCCTAGACTGGTGCTTTAGAGTGATTCTGAGTGAGTCAGGGATCGGGCCATTGGACGTGGACCTCCCCCAGCAAGGGAGTGTGGCTCCTGGAGAGGCAGCTCTCTTCAGTCAAGGACAGATCCAGAAAAGGGACTTGGCTGAGAGCTTTTGACCAGTGATATTTCTACCAGCTTAGGGAATGAATACTTCAGTCCTAAGAGGCATGGGCAGGGGGATATCTGAGGGATGCACTGTGGCAGCCATCGCACTGTTTCCAAATTTCTGCAGTAAAATAGTACAGATATATATTAAAAAAATTTTTTTTTTAAGATTTTATTTATTTACTTGAGAGAAAGAGAGCACAAGTAGGCAGAGCAACAGGGAGAGGGAGAGGGAGAAGCAGGCTCTGCTGAGCAGGGAGCTGGATGTGGGTCACGATCCAAGGACCCTCAGGCAAAGGCAGATGCTTAACCGACTGAACCACCCTGGCGCTCCCCCCCTCCCCAGATAGATAGATATAGATATAGATATAGATATATATGTATTTTTTTTTAAAGATTTTATTTATTTTATTTGACAGACAGAGATTACAAGTAGGCAGAGAGGCAGGCAGAGAGAGTCGAGGAAGCAGGCTCCCGGCCGAGCAGAGAGCCCGATGCGGGGCTCGATCCCAGGACCCTGGGATCATGACCTGAGCCGAAGGCAGAGGCTTTAACCCACTGAGCCACCCAGGCGCCCCCCCAGATATATTTTTTAATGTTATTTGCCGTAAAGGAAGTTAGGAAGGAACAGCCTTTTTTTTTTTTTTTAAGATTTTATTTGAGAGAGAGCACAAAGGGAGTGGGGTGGGTTCGGGCAGAGGGAGAGGGAGAAGCAGGCTCCCCACTGAGCAGGAAGCTGAAGGCAGCCACTTAACCAACTGAGCCAGTTCCAGGTGTCTCAGGAACAGCTTTTTGATGTTATAGTAGTGTTGACTAAAGGGAATAAACCTGACAGTGATGAAGGTATTCTGCACAGTGTTGGAACCAGTTAGGGATGCGTCAAATCACTGGCCCCTGAAGTTGAAGTGGCTGCTCTGGGTCATGGCTCATCCCTGGGCTCTGAGGTCCCTTCTGGTATCACACACCCCACACTTTATTGATCAGAAGTATTCTGCCTATAATCCCCACAAGCTGGCCATGAATTTCTGCAGCAAAAATGAAAACAATTGAATTCTGGAGTGTCTTCAAGTTTGTGTTTGATCTCTGAATTGTTTGTGTGCATTTTGTGGTCTGAGTCCTGCCTTCTTTTTCTGTTTTGTTAAGGTGCTTTATCATACCCAGGTGGCCTACGATCCAGAGGGAATTTTAGGGACCATCAACTCCATTGTGATGGCATTTTTAGGCGTTCAGGTATTTGTTCATTTCATTAGGGTGTACATCTTTCTGACCGTTCATGATTATTCATCACTAATTCAAAAACTGTTTAATTAAAACAAGTAATTGGAAGCATACCTTCTATGGTCTAATAAATTCTGTTATGTGTGACAGATTGTCAAAATCAGAAGTTGCTAAAATTCAGCACATGGAAATAATTAGGTATAATTCCTATATTCCCTCACCCCCAAATTCTCATTGTTTATATGGCTTATCTTAGGAATGGATGCATAGCAGTTTCTGGGTAAAAGGTCTCCCTGTTGGAGGGTGCAGAATGTTTGGGTGCTGGTGGTGTTGGGAAGTCCCTGTGTCCCCTCTTGTCACATTTATTTCTTTTGTGCACACTCTGTATGGTTTCAGGTTATGCATATTGTATACCAGAGTCAAATACAGGTTGTTCTTGGTTTATCTCACATGCAATTTTTTAAAAATTCTGAGCAGTCTACATTTTTTCCCCCCTAAAGTTCTCCTTATTGGTGTTTGAAACTCTTTTTTGAGCAGAGCTATTTTGGGGGAGGGAAAAGTCTGTAAAGCAGCAGATGGAAGGCTCTGTTGAAAATATTCATGTCCATGTGGCTTTTGAGTACTTGAAATGTGGCTAGTATGACCAAGGAACAAAATTTTAAATTTCAATTAATTTAAATTTAACTTCAAATAGTCTCCAATATGGCTAGTAGCTGCCATATTGGATAGTGTGGATCTAAAGCATATACGTTTTGGCGATTCATATTTAGAAATACTGCTCTATACTCACCTCTCTAGCACACTACAGTTCACAGTGGGTGCTTTCACATATATTCATTTCATTCCTGCATCTGCAGATCTGCAGGGATGAATTTGCGCCAGTGAGAGCAGCCTGGGGCCACACTGTCTGGGCTTGAACCTGCTCTACCACTTTCCAACTGGGTAGCCTCGGGCATGTTCATCCCTCTGTGTGGAGAGGACTGAGTAATTCCTGTGAAATTCTAAGAACTGGCACATAGAAAACATTCATAAATTTTAGTTTTAGTCACAAGTTATTACGAACATTTTCTTATCCTTTGATGTTTTTCAGAAATTAATTCCTAATTTCAGGCGAAGTCCAGTTCGTACTGTTTCTGTTTCTGCCTCTAGTACCACCCTCTCCTTTACTGTCGCCAAACTGGGCTGTACAGCAAGCCAGTCTGAGCTGGTCCCCGTGTTACTGGTGTTTTTTTGGGGTGGAGGAGAAGTGACTTTCCTCAGCTCCCTCTTATGCACGGGAGAAAGCCTGTGCCTCACCAGTGAGACCCACAAACTCACACGCCTCCCACCTTCCCCTCACCGTCCCAACCCTCTAGCCCTTCTCAGTGACCTGCAGCTCAGGGACGCGTGCTCTTTCAGCCATTTGACCTGTTTCTGTGCATGCTTTTCCATTCTGCCCAGATGCCCTTCCTGCTTTGCACTCGTAGCCTCAACCGGATGGCACTTCCTCCCTGGCATCTCCTCCCATCTTCCCGAGGAGTCCCCCGTGCCTCCGTGGCCAGTCATCAAGGGCAGGGGTGACGTTCCATTCCTCTCGGTAATCCCCACATCTAGCATCATGCCTGGCAGATGAGTCTGTCTGTTGAGTGATTAGGATGTAGATGAACACAAAACACGAATATACCTTAAGTAGTTCTCATAGTCATCTGTGTTTTCTTCTCCAGGCAGGAAAAATACTCTTGTATTACAAGGATCAGACCAAAGACGTTCTGATCAGATTTACTGCCTGGTGTTGTTTTCTAGTAAGTAACTGGCATTCCTCACTAAAATCCCATCTATACATGTTTCGAAGAAAGAAAATGTTTAGCAGCACTGGACAGCAGCTGCCACCACAGCATAGGGTTACATTCTTCACCAGAACAGCGGAGAGGAACACGTCTTTACACCTGAACTCTCAGTTTTATTTTCTTAGGCAAATGTCTTTATAACTAAGAGTGTTTGCTGTCGAACAGGCCAGCTGGAGTCGTGAAGAAATTGTGTGGGTTCCGGTGGGGAACCAGACCAGGAAGAGCAGGGTAATAGCTATCAGAGGTCCACTTCCAGATCTCCCAGTGACGGAGAGTTAAAAGTTGGGCTGTTCATTTTATCCTTCACATTTCCTCTCTAATTTATTTATTAGTTTACCTTTGACTCAAGAGAATGCTTTGGAGATTTTTTGTTTTGGAGAATATTTTTAGTTATGCATCTTGAAAATAGTTTTCCAGTTGAAAGAATAAAATGTAAGACACAATTTTCAGTCCTCCCTAAGTAATTAAATAACATATTTTCCAGTTTTGAAGCATAATTGTTTTTTGAGATAATATTTTAAAAAACTAACATCCTTCTCCCCCTGTTATAGGGGCTTATTTCTGTTGCTTTGACGAAAATTTCTGAAAATGAAGGCTTTATTCCAATAAACAAAAATCTGTGGTAGGTATAACAGTGCCATTTAATGTTGGGTTGATCTTGCTGATGCTGGATGTGCTCCTCAGGAGCCCTGAAACACCTCATTCATCTTGTAGGTCCATTTCATATGTCACCACACTGAGCTCCTTTGCCTTCTTCCTCCTGCTTATCCTGTACCCCATTGTGGATGTGAAGGGACTGTGGACGGGAACCCCGTTCTTCTACCCAGGTAAACCTCTAATTCGGAGTTGATGATGGTGACCTAGGGGGCGGGCCCAGAGACAGCTGAGCGTGCCCAGTGCTGTGACCTGAGGCCATGGCCCCTAGTGGCAGGTTTCCAAGATGCAGACTGAGGGAGCAAGCCGCTGGGGCCACATGCAGGACATGCCTGGCCTGTTCCAAAGGAGTCCACCCATTTTATCTGTTTAGATTGTGGGGTCACACCAAGTACCACTTGTTTCTTCAGGCAGTCCTGAGTTGTAGAGCATCAAAAACAATCCAGGGGATATCATCCAGTTTCTAACGCTTTAGCAATGAGGCCATGCCTTCTTTCTGAATACAAATGTACTGCCTTATAGATGATGCATAAGAAATATCAAGAGATACTGGAGATAAATGGTATCAAGAGATAAATGGAATGGTTTTGATGCAAATCTGCCTGAAGACTGAGAGACGCAATCACTTTTTTTAAAGATTAATTTATTTGAGAGAGAGAACATATGCATGCAGGGTGGAGAGTGGCAGAAGGAGAGAGAGAGCGAGAGAAAAATCTCAACCGGTCTCTGCCATGAGTGCAGATCCCATGTTGGGGCCTGACCCCAGGACCTTGTGATCATGACCTGAGCTGAAACCAAGAGTCAGATGCTTAACCGACTGAGCCACCTAGGTGCCCTAGACCCAGTCATTTCAGTGACTCACTGACAGATTTTTCTGACCTCAAGTTTCCGGTCCAGAAAAGATAAGTTAATGATTTTGGCTCTCCTTATAGATTTAGCATTCAAGAATTACATCATTATAAATATTTTCTAATTTTTGATTTAGCTTACAGTTAAGTATTTAAGAAATGCATTATTTATTAAGTGTGTGCATTTTGCTTTTTTCTCTGGACTAAAATCAAATTTCAAGAATTAAACAGATGATCAGATGTGACTCAGGAAAATATTATTTTCTGTATTTCTTCTCTAGGAATGAACTCTATTCTGGTGTACGTTGGCCACGAGGTGTTTGAGAACTACTTCCCCTTTCAGTGGAAGCTACAGGATAATCAGTCACACAAAGAGCACCTAACTCAGAACATAGTCGCCACTGCAGTTTGGGTGCTCATTGCCTACATTCTTTATAAAAAGAAGGTTTTTTGGAAAATCTGACAGCTCCAGCTGAAATGCATTGCTAGCAGACTCTAGTGGGCCTGCGGGAGTGTTGAAGCAGCCTTTGTTAAAGGGAACCATGAATTACAGAATCAGTAGGATGTGTATTTCCCAGTGATTGGGGAAGCTGCTGATGTGCTCTGGCTGGTTTACTATGATGCGGCTGTTTATCAGAACTCTGTATATTTGAGACTTATATGTTTGGAATATAATTGTCGTTTTTCTCCATCTTCTATGTAAAGGGATGAATTTAGAATTTCATTTAAAGGATTTGTCATTTAAGTCTTCAAAAGGAAATTGCCATGGGCATTTTGTGTCTGTGACAGATAAAACAATCTAAAGTCTAATTTTTATTATCTTGTTTTCCTGTAGACTGCCTTTCCAGGTACACACATGCCAGCCAAGAGTACCTTCATTTCTGTTGTGGCTGACTAGAAGTCTTATCGAATGGGATGGGTAGTGATGTGGCCCGATATTTTTTGTGGTTAAGAGCAGTTTAATATTTTAAGAAAGTCAGTAATTTCCTTTTCAGATCTGCAAGGCATTGGTGGGTTCAAAAAATGCCTTTCTGTCCGGAGGGATTCTCTCCTTTTCCCTACTTGGAAAAGGATGTTAAAATATAGATGTGTTATTCCAGCCACTCTTGCTTATAGTTATAATACTTACTATTTGGCTGTCTGTCTACCTACTTGTCTGTCTTTCTCACCGTGTGTCTAGATGGTGGGTGGCACCCAGGGTTCTAGTGTGGCATTGAAAAGCACACTGCTGTGCTTGTAGTGCCAGCCTTCCATCCTTGCCGTGTGAGATGCCAGCAAGTTCCATGGCCTCCCTGGGCGCGTGTTCCCTCATCTGTGAAATGAGGGAGCAGGGATGACCTCTCTGGTTCCTTCCAGCTCTTAGGCTCACTGAGGTGGGATACATCAGTAGCTTTTCTGAAATCCTTAGGAAAATAATTTTATTACAGAGAACGCTTCAAAATAAATAATGAAAAGTTAAACAAACAAAACAAAACTCTCATTGGAGTAAATCTTTTCAGAACGACCCTCCACAGTGGAGGCACTTTCCTGGGTGGAATCACGAAACTGAAGAAATAGTGTCTCAGGAGTGAAGACAGGAGACATTTTGAAAACAACACTTTTCATATGATGCATCATCATGCTTAACGACTTTTCTGTGAGAATTCTGTGTGGAGGAAAATGTGGAATAGGTTGTGCTTGAGCCCGCTCTTCCGCGGTGGACGGGGCCACCTCCACGTCGCTCCAGCCGTTACCACATTAGGACGACTCTCTGGCCTGCGTTCCGCCGCGGACCTCCACCCCAAACCCTTAGCCCCCTCGTCACTGCCCGCGGGTCACTCCGCCCTGGACACACGCCAGCACCCCGTCTTCCCGCTTCTCTCCCCAAATCCAGACTTTCCCTCGGGATTTTCCCAGCTCCCTGAATGGCTCCTTCTCTGTCTCCAGCTGCGAAACTCCGTCACCTCTCACTCACCTTACCTCTTCCATGCCCGCTTTTCCATACTTCGTCATTCCTGTCTTCCACCCGACACCCGCTTTCTCGCTGCGTGCGCCGTGTCACTCCGGCCCAGGCCTCCCTCAGTTCTTCCTCTGTCAGGTCACTATCTGATGCCTCCACATGAAGCTTTATGCAGCAGAGCTCGGTTCGGGGAAGATCGCTCTTCAGAAGCTCCCCTCAAAAGTTGGAACCGCTTTGTCTGGCGTGTGTGGTTAGAGAACCACCCTCTGCGGAGCCCGACGCATCTCCCGGTTGCTTGCCCCGCCCATCCGCCCGGGCCCCGCCCCCTGCTCGGGCCCTGCCCAAGAGGCCTGGGCCCCGCCCGCCCCGCGTTCGCCCCCCAGCTGGGCTCCTCCCTCCGCAGCTCTTAGCCCTTCCTGCTTCGTCTTTAACGGGTTTTCCTGCTTTAATTTTCCCCTTAATTTTCTCTAGACCACCTACTTCTGAAACACCTTCTCTAATCTTGTATTCTCATCCGAAGGTGATATTTTTTCCCTCATAATACCTACTGGGATCAGTCTCATGGCATTTATTGCTTTCTGCCTGGTATGATGTAGTTATTTGTGTACATGTCTCATTTCCCGCACCAGTCCCTGAGCTTGTTAAGGGCAAGAATTACGTCTTGTTCATCTGTGTATTCCTCATGGTGCACACACAGTGCCTGGTACTTAGCAGGCGTTAAATAAACATCTATCAAAGCAAAGCAATGGTGGTTTTTGTTTTTAATATTTAAGTGCTGATAAAATTACTATGCCCGGAGTGCCCCATGAAAATGTTCCATTTGCTAATGTGTAAGGGGACAGTCGGTGAGGAAACCTGCTGCTATGCTTCTCTCGCAGCGAGTCATCGTGGACGGTCACATTGATCCCAAGTCCTGGCATGTCAGGCTGAGTTGGGCCTCTCCAGATGAGTTATCCAGAAGCATTTCTTGAATTGGGGAGGAATATATCGGGGTGTATTGAGCCGTAGGGACCAGGGAATCCTGATTCAGCTGGGTTTTAAGGAAAACTTGGCTCACATAGGAAGGCCCGAGGTGGGCTGGCTCTAGCTTACGTGCCTGTGAGGCCAGGGCACCCTGACAGCTACAGACACTTGACTGCGACACTCACCCAAAGGAAAGGGCTTCCCCTCTGTGCATCCCATGACATCGTTAGAAAACCCTTCCCAGAAGCCTCTCAGCAGTCCTCCCCTCGTGTCTCACTGGCTGCAAGCCTCCTATCTGACTTATGAGACCAGCAGTGACAAGGGACCATGGACTGACAAGCCCATGGCATGACTACATTGATGACCTGCTTTGGGAGGGAACGAGTGTGCCCAAGTGGCACAGTTGGGAGAGTGTCCGACATGGAAGTTGGGAGTTGAGTTCTTTTTTTTTTTTTAAGATTTTATTTATTTATTTGACAGAGATCACAAGAAGGCAGAGAGGCAGACAGAGAGAGAGGAGGAAGCAGACTCCCCGCTGAGCAGAGAGCATGATGCGATGTGGGGCTCTATCCCAAGACCCTGGGATCATGACCTGAGCCAAAGGCAGAGGCTTGAATCCACTGAGCCACCCACGTGCCCCGGGAGTTGAGTTCTTAAAGGGATAAAGCAAAACACTGTTCTAGAGTAGGGATGTAGTAATTAAATGTTGTTTATTCATTTTTTGGTACTTACATTACTCATATCTATTCATAATTAAGTGAATAAATTGTTGCCTTTACACTTCTTGTCTTTTCAGTCTAGCCAATAAAGGGCATCTTTTATAAATGTGCAATAATCCAGGATGTATTAAAGGGCGTCAGCTTAAATGAAATTCCAACATAATAGTTTTTATTTGTCCTTTTAATGTAATTGTTTTCCTAATAAATGGGGGAGACAAATGGATTTTTGAGAAAGTTCCTCGACATATCGAACTCCTTTTTGGGTAGAGATCTCTATCAATTGTAAAAAATTAGGGGTAGGCTCCCAAAGAACAAATAATCCAATCAAGAAATGGGCAGAAGACATGAACAGACATTTCTGCAAAGAAGACATCCAGATGGCCAACAGACACATGAAAAAGTGCTCCATATCACTCGGCATCAGGGAAATACAAATCAAAACCACAATGAGATACCACCTCACACCGTCAGAATGGCTAAAATTAACAAGTCAGGAAATGACAGATGCTGGCGAGGATGCAGAGAAAGGGGAACGCTCCTACACTGTTGGTGGGAATGCAAGCTGGTGCAACCACTCTGGAAAACAGCATGGAGGTTCCTCAAAATGTTGAAAATAGAACTACCGGGGCACCTGGGTGCCTCAGTGGGTTAAAGCCTCTGCCTTCGGCTCAGGTCATGATCCCAGGGTCCTGGGATCGAGCCCCACATCGGGCTCTCTGCTGGGCGGGGAGCCTGCTTCCCTTCCTCTCTCTCTGCCTACTTGTGATCTCTCTCTCTCTCTCTGTCAAATAAATAAACAAAATTAAAAAAAAAAAAATAGAACTACCCTATGACCCAGCAATTGCACTGCTGGGTATTTACCCTAAAGATACAAACGTAGTGATCCGAAGGGGCACATGCACCCGAATGTTTATAGCAGCAATGTCTACAATAGCCAAACTATGGAAAGAACCTAGATGTCCATCAACAGACGAATGGATAAAGAAGATGTGGTATATATACACAATCAAAAGAAATATACACATCAAAAAAAATGAAATCTTGCCATTTGCGACGACGTGGATGGAACTAGAAGGTATCATGCTTAGCGAAATAAGTCAATCGGAGAAAGACAACTATCATATGATCTCCCTGATATGAGGGAGAGGAGATGCAACATGGGGGTTAAGGGGGTAGGAGAAGAGTAAATGAAGCAAGATGGGATTGGGAGGGAGATAAACCATAAGTGACTCTTAATCTCACAAAACAAACTGAGGGTTGCTGGGGGGAGGGGGGTTGGGGGGTGGGGTTATTATGGACATTGGGGAGGGTATGTGCTATGGTGAGTGCTGTGAAGTGTGTAAACCTGGCGATTCACAGACCTGTACCCCTGGGGGAAAAAATATATGTTTATAAAAAATAAAAAAAAAATTAGGGGTAGGCTTTTGAAAACACTAAACAGTACACGGTGGGATCCATGACCCTATTAATAGTGCATCTTCTGGTATAGTTTCAGCTTTTGAGATTTTTTTTTTTTTTTTTAAGATTTTATTTATTTGTCAGAGAGAGAGGGAGAGAGAGCAAGCACAGGCAGACAGAATGGCAGGCAGAGGCAGAAGCAGGCTCCCTGCAGAGCAAGGAGCCCGATGTGGGACTCGATCCCAGGACGCTGGGATCACGACCTGAGCCGAAGGCAGCTGCTTAACCAACTGAGCCACCCAGGCGTCCCTCAGCTTTTGAGATTTTTAACACTTCTTTTGTTTGAACTTTGAAATGAGGTGCGAGAGCACATCGCTAGTGTTTGTCTTTAGTTGCATATCTGTGTAAGCTGTTTTCACCAGCGTGTAGTGAGCCAACATTTTTCTCTTGGTAATCAGTATCTGTTGGGCGTTAGTTGCAAAACATGGTGGGTTTTTGTTTGTTTTTAGGCTAAATGCATCTCCAAATCTAAAGTTGTTGGAAGTCCTAGTTTGCCCTATGTCATAACATACCTCAGCCCTCATAAACCCCTTATCTAATTGTGTATGTCAGAACACTGCCACTGACAAAAGATGCCATTATTTTGCTGGCTTTCCTCTGTTGAATTCCATCCCAAGTGCTAGCCTAGCAGACAGCTGGCCTTGCTCCCTGCAGTGTGGAGCGCGGGGCTTCCCACAGTAATCATTTTGGGTTCTGGTGGAATTGTCCGGACTCCTGGAGCTGGACAGAAA